TTTTATGGGAAAATATAACACAAATTACAATAACTTTTTAATCGTAGGGAGTTCTACCATCTGTATATCCCGACAAAGACTAATGGGTTATCTTCACTGAGTCACGGGTAGGCATAGAAAAAAAGAAAATTAAATGGACAAAAGGCAACTGGCTGGGTAGCTGAGTGGTTATAGTGCTCACCTAATAATAAAAAGGTTGCCGGTTCGATCCTGAGAAAAGTCAGTAGCTTTTTAATGGTTCGAAACTGGACCCATCTGTTCCTAGGGCTTTAAATTATCCTGGCTAACGTAACTAACAGCTGATCTCTTAGTCAGTAACAAAGCTACACAGATCATCTCACACCACTCTACACTCATCCTCCACTCATATTTGGGTTAGAATACGCACCTAGGTGGCGTCCGCATCTCAATGATTGATTTGATAACCGAGCTTTTAGAATTGGAGATTGTATAGCATCATTCAACCTGAAGATCATTGTGGTGCTATAATTTAAATCAATACGTATATAAAATGATTTCCTTAAACCAAAAAATGGCCCCTATTAAACAGAAATACAAAATACCAGCATCAAGAGAATTTGATAACAGTAACAAAGGACAATGGTACAAACCAAAAATAGGCTTACCTCAAAACCCGTGGATTTGGAACTACCGGCTAAGTCGTGCTGACACGTCTCTAATATCCAACCCCAAACTATAATGCATACTAATGCATAAAGGCTATTTCAAATGAAGAAGAGGTAATCTCCGTATTGCATCAAAGCTGAACTAAGACAACGTGAAACAATAGAACACATCGATCATTATAGAGTACTAGCTGGCCCGACAGACGTCGTCGTGTCCTAATGTGGTTTTATGTCAAATGCTCGTTCATTTTCAAGATGAGCACGTTCGCATGGCTCAATCACGTCTTGGTTGAAGTTCGTTCGCTACGCTCACTCACCTTTAGGTTGGAGCTCGTTCGCTGCGCTCACTTGCCTTCAGGTTAGCTCGTTCGCTACACTAACTCACCTTCAGGTTGAAGTTCGTTCGCTTCGCTACGCTCACTCACCTTTTGGTTGCAAATTAGCTGTTGTCATAAATTGAAAAAAAAAATAATAGTGCTGCGCCCTGTTGGTAAACCTATTAACTTTTTAATGCTATTGAACATCAAAGAATTAAATTCTTTAGTTGAACCAGCTGTTAAGAATCTTTAATTCCATTTAAATATGAGTACTCATAAGGTTAACATGGGAAACTCCAGAGCCACTGGGGCGGAGCCCTTTTGACGGACCTGTACCAAACTTCACACAAACCATCCTTGAATAATGCTTAATAATACCTGAAAGTTTCATTACAATCTGTTGAGCGGTTTCGGGGTCCATAAAGGATAAACAAACACACATACATACAAACAAACATACATACAAACAAACATCGGATTTTATATATATAGATAAGACTTCTGTAAATAGTTCTTAAGTAAATACAAGCGAACCTTTATTTAATTAAGAGGCCGCCAACCTCTTAACCACTTTATTTAAAAGAAAAGACCAAGCCAATACAAATTGTATAATATACTAGCTGTGTGCCCGTTCTACGCACGGGGATCTTATAGTAGTCAGTTGAAACCTTCTTATATTAAGATTAAGAACAGCAGTTAGTTTGCATATTTGCAGATATGCTGGCAAAACTATTATACATAAACCTTCGCAAATACAGTATCTGACAGTTCAAGCCAAAATAAATGCTTCGCAATTAAATGTCACCCGGATCGTTATGGTCCATATGTCCAATGATTAAACTAAAAAATGTTTTATAGATCCATGAAGCGTAGCCCTAAAGTAGGCCTATAATTGAAAGTTACTTTCCACATCGGTTAACTTAAACGTATTTAAAGTACTACCTCAACCTCACCATTTAACACTTTATTCCGGTTGACATTTTCAGTATCAAAGGTGCTCTTGTCCATTCCGTGAAACACTGAGAAATGAGTTACCAACAGACATACACACAACAATCCAAAAAAGGCCACGAACTATTGATACATAAACAATATAAAGGCGTAAACAATTCATGATGGTTTGCCCAACAAATGTTTTACTCAAATAGGTTATCATTTTCTTAGCATACCGGGTAAGCTAAGATTTGGAATCCAGACAGAAAAAGCAAAACTTATACAGAGTTAAGACATCACTTAAATTGAATACGGACGGCTCTAATAAATAAGGTGCAACACCAACGATAACTAATTTGTAAACTACAGTGATGTGTTGGTACCTACGTAAAAGTGATTCTAGCAGCTACCAACGGTTCTAAGGAAAAGAACCAGTACCTACGTAAGAACCTACCTAAGAACTATAGTACATCCGACCAATTAAATACATTAATATCTAGTCCCGAGGTTATTGATCTCTTGCTTTTGGATTTTCTCGTAAAAAGTTATAGCGTAAACTTATCGGTGTCAGTTTGAAAAAAAAAACAACCTTACCCAAACAACTTTTTGTTATTTAATAGATTACGCATTCTCTAAACAATGATTATAGTATATCTATTAACATTAGAAGGAAATGTGACGAAAATCACACAATGTTGGGGTTTTGGTCATTTGTAATTATATTTCTTAAGTAGGTAGGCCATGTATTCTATGGAAAAGTACCGGTATCAAGGATCGTCGTCAAAAAGGTTGTTATGAATAAATATGTAGGCTTACGTACCCAAGATATGAGCTATGGGCCTATTGGCTGTATGGTCCAGCGATTGCATCACACGGTGAGTAGAAACAGAAAATGACACATTGGAAAAGCGAGTTTAGCACTTCCTCTGTTAAACCTCGGTTACAATCACCCACTGCAGTTGTGATTTTTTACTTTACACTTTACACAACCGCCATTGAAGCGCCGTCAATGAGTGGAAACCTTTTTTGTAAGCTATTGGCGACGATCATTTCAGTGTCCAGCCCTATACAACACTGATTCAAGGTCTTCTTTCTGGTTGTCAAAACTCAAGAAACATTTTATACTCAAAGAATTTCTGGTTCCGATTTGGACGATGTCTAGTTATTTAATTCCATTTACGGTTACACTATTAGACTATATTATTGCACTTGCGATTAATTAAATCCGTTATGTAAGAAAAACGTTTTTAATCTCACTTGGTTGGGATTTGCTTTCAAAACGTGATTCGAAATGGTTGCGGTATTTGTAAACAACATTTGTAAACATATCATTGACAGCTAGAAAAAATAATCTTGATCCGAACAGCTGTTCGTTATTTCATAGACGATTATGTGATAAAAATTGAACGAAAATTTGACAAAAATCGCACAAAACTGCATTTTTGAACGTCCGTAATTTTATTTACAAAGTAGTGAGGCTATATTTAAATCACTAAAGACACTCTCGCCAATCCAGTGAATACATTAAAATGACTTGGATCTTGATAGGTACTTTGGTTTTCACGGAGAAGATTGCGTAAAATGCCATCTTGAGTGTTACAGACAAAGGGAAAGACAGACAGACAGACAGACAGACAGAAATAGAGATAAGACTCGTTTCTGCTTCTTTCATGTATAAAACGTAAAAATAACCTAAAAGTATATCATTCTGAGCAAAGTACAGACAAAACTCTAATTTTATTTATATAGATTGTTAATTCTGGCTAAATAAATTATTTGATTTAATGTAATTAGAGTCATGAGTGCCCAGCCTACAATAAGATGAGACAATAATGCATTTACTCAAAAATAAAGAAAGCTAATAGGAAGGAAAATCACCACCAACTGGCCAAACGCTCCAATGGAAAAAGAATAGCAAGCTATGGCCACCATTGGCTAAACCTAAACCATGGATAAAGTTTTTTTTTATGATAAAACTAAAGGAAAGGAGTACCTAGAATATGTTTTTTCTATAGTTAAAATTTTAAACTGGTTGTCTTTTTGCACGTCGTGCATGCTTTCTCATAAATTATTTACCTAGTTATGCTATTGTTATAGTGATTAATCCTATTTAATGTATATTTTGAATGTAAAAATGGTGTTACCGTTGAAAGAATAAAAATAAATCTATAGGTATAAAAGAGGATGTTTGTATATATATTTGGCAGTGATAAACTCAGACACCGCTGAACCGATTGCCACGAAACTTGGTACATACGTGTAGAATTTCATGGAATAGGCTTATACACCATCAATTTCGTGATCCGTCCAATCGGCTCCGCCCCAGTGGCTCTGGAGTTTCCCATGTTAACCTTATGAGAAATGGAATTAATGAATCTTAACAGCTGTTTCAATTAAACAAGTTGGTTCTGTTCTATGATGTTCAATAGCATTAAAGTTACAAGGATTACCAACAGGGTGCATCACTATTATTTCTTTTACATTTATGACAACAGCTAGATTTGCAACCAAAAGGTGAGTGAGCATAGCGAAAGAACTTCAACATGGAGGCGAGTTAGCGTAGTGAACGAGCTAACCTGAAGGCAAGTGAGTGTAGCGAACGAGCTAACCTGAAGGCAAGTGAGCGCACCGAACGAGCTCCAACCTAAAGGTGAGTGAGCGTAGAGAACGAACTTCAACCAAGACGTGATTGAGCCATGCGAACGAGATCATCTTGAAAATTAAGAAGTTAAACGGGGCAAAGCCCGCGGGTTACAGCTAGTAAAAAATAAAATAAAAGAAACATAAATCTAACTTTGAGATATTAAAGAACTGGAAAAGTCTAACCACGCCCACTTTAACTTATTAACCTTGGTAAACTCAGTTTATTATAAAAACAAAATTCTTTTTTTATAACTCGCATTTCGATAAATATATAGAACTGCCTGTTATAATAGTGTCGTTACATGGTTTTTTAACTAAGCCAGTTTTTAAGAAAAATAGAAAAGAAGAAGAAAAACCCTTTTGCCTTTTTGTTAAGTTGTTTTATTATTTCTGTTTCTGTTGTTGTTGTTATAGGTTAAGGTTAAGGTTATGTGTATAAAGCAAATAATAGGTTTAAAGATTTAGGGACTTTTTTAAACAAACATATAAAGTTCGGTTATTATTTATTAGTGCACTGCAACTGGGCACATTGTGGAGAAAATAAGTTACAATTAAATGTCCTTTTGTTAGAATTAGTTTAGAATTTTTCAACAGGATCCCAAATGAAATTAAAAATAAGTTATTTTGAAGATGTAATTTTAAAAAATCCAAGATTCCCTTTTAGCCTAGTTTAGTTTCAAGGACAATTTATTAAAGAGAGTATAAGTTAAGTCATACTGATACACTGCTACACTCTAGCAGAGCCTGTGAATTGTAGGCTATTAGCTCTGCAAACACTTCAGAAAACTTGCAAATTTACAAATTGCCTAGGCTCTTAAATCTTTTGACAAACCTTTGACTTCAACTGCTTCGCCTATGGAGATCTTAAAGTAAGTTAGGCCTAGTATTATGCCTAAAGTACCGTAAGTAAGTATCAAGGGTCATCTTGTATGATGTAGCCTGATCGTGAATCAGTGATAAGTAGGTAGCTTAAGGCTGAATTCAGTGTTACGATTGGGTAGGCCTACTCATAAACAAAGGCCTAGGCCAAATAATGGTACAACTTATGCTTAACTATCATGTTAAGTACAAGACTTAAAGATAAGGTTAGGCTTTCTTTTCTTTGTCAGACTTTAACTTACTATTGATGTGAAACTGACTTGTGTGAAGCTGCCAATAGGCCTAGCTCACCAACAAGTAGTGCCCGCGCTACCAAAAATCAATAAACGGCACTGTTTTGGGCTAATCGGGCCGCACTGCGTAGGCCTAATACCCATATTTTATGGTCACAAGATAAAGGACACTTAAACGCACACGTTAGTATCTTGGCCATATACCAGGAACACAGGAGGGTCATACAAAATGGGCTTAAAATGACAAACTGCGCACGCTGAAATCTATTCGTGTCTGTTTTGCGAGAAAATACAGCCGAGCTCATTAATACCGTACCTATATGGTCACGAGTTAAAGGACACCTTAACGCACCTAACAGTATCATGGTCATAGGCCTACCGTATGCCAGTAACACAGGAGGGTCATAATAAAGGCTTAAAATGACAAACTGTGCATGTCAAAATCTATTCGTGGCCGTTTTGCGAGAAAATACAGCCGAGCTCCTTAATACCTATATGGTCACGAGTTAAAGGACACCTTAACGCACATAACAGTATCATGGTCATATGCCAGTAACACAGTGAGGGTCATAATAAAGGCTTAAAATGACAAAGTGCGCACGTCGAAATTTATTGATGCTGGTTGTTTTGCGGAAAAATACGGCCGAGCTCCATAATCCCTATATGGTCACGAGTAAGAGGTCATCCTTAACGCACATGTCAGTATCATGGTCATATACCAGATACAAATAATGTAACTTAATTATTTCATATTTATTTTTAATCAATTAAGTTGCTTGATTTCGAGAAGGGGCTGTTCTAGGAATAATAATTTTTGGGTAGGGCTTACAAGGATCAAGAGTAGTCTGACTAGCAGGGTACGAGAGGTTTGAGGGGCTTCCCTGCAAAAGGGGGAATTTAAGAAAAATTAACTTAGGTAATGCAAAACTAATTACTTGTAACATTTTTCCTTTATTTATTTTAGGGATGGACGAGATTGGATTTTTAGTTCGAGACGAAACGAGACGAGATTTTTTATTTCTCATCAAATTTCGAGACGAGATCGAGACGGGATTTGCCTTCTCATACACAACGGGAAATGCACGTTCAAAATCTTTACCTGATTTTGTAACATTGTTAGATGACTGTTTAAATACAAAAATAATGATAATAGGCAAGAATATTTACAAACTTTTATTCAAAAACATCAGCATAACATTTTTTTTATTAATCACGCCTAACATATTATAAATGCCTACGATTAGGAAACATAGTGATATCAGTTAGGATAGAGTTCAACATATCCTAAAATAAAATAAATCATAAAATAAAAGTAATATTAATTTTTATAAAATAGTTACTTGTTTTGACTTTTTTTATAGTAATAAAACATTCCTTACACTGCTTACACTTAACAAAACTTTTCTAATGTTATTAAAGTAATATTATAAAAATAATTAAAGTAATATTTACATTTAAAGAATTAATTAAACAAGAACGCCTTCGCAAAGGAAACGCAACTACAACGCGCTCCTGTACGGGTATTGCATTGACTTTCTGCAGGCGTTTTTAATTTTTATTTATTTATTTTTTTTATTCTCGTCTCGATTAAAATCTCGGCCAAAAAGAAATCTCGTCTCGTGTAACGAGATTTAAAATTTCCCGAAAATTTCCCGAAATTTCGAGACTTGACCATCCCTAATTTATTTACTAGCTGGCCCGACCTGTCCTATTGTGGTTTTATGTCACATGCTCGTTCATTTTCAAGATGATCTCGTTCGCATGGCTCAATCACATCCTGGTTGAAGTTCGTTCGCTAAGCTAACTCGCCTCCAGGTTGAAGTTCGTTCGCTACGCTCACTCACCTTTTGGTTGCAAATTAACTGTGTTCTTATAAATTAAAAATAAATATAGTACTGCACCCTGTTGGTAAACCTATTAACTTTTTATTGCTATTGAACATCACAGAATCAAATTGTTTAGTTGCACCAGCTGTTAAGATTCTTAAATTCCATTTAAATATGAGTAGGCCTACTCATAAGGTTAACATGGGAAACTCCAGAGCCACTGGGGCGGAGCCCTATTGACGGATCTGCACCAAACTTCACACAAACCATCCTTGAATAATGCTGAATAATGCTTAATAATGCCTGAAAGTTTCATTACAATCTGTCGAGCGGTTTTGGAGTCCATAAAGGACAAACATACAAATATACAAACATACATTGGATTTTATATATATAGATAATTGAATCACATTATTTATTTATCATTTTGAAATATCCATCAAAATTTTAGGTAGGCCTGGCCTATCCTCTGGAGAGCCGCCCCTGTTCGAGCAAAAGTTACATTAGTTGGCCTAGGCCTACTTCATAAATCTAACAACTTTTCAGCAGGGAACTAACATATTGAACTTTTAAAAAGTGAAGACTAAGTTTGGAAAATATTATTTTCACAGATGCCTAGTCCCAATTTAAACATAGCTGCTGCCTCAATGTATGTAGCTTCGGAGAGGCTCGCCGTCGGGTTTTCTTGGCTAATTGTGTCGCTGAAAGCCTACCTTGGGCGAACACGTTGCTCATTGTTGGAATGCTTGGTAAGTTGCAGGAAAAATATAAATAAAACGTCAAATTCATAAAATATGTGTGTACAGTTTTTTGTAACATGTTGGTCGTAAGCTAATAACCAGAAGAACTGTGCGTAAATTGCAACATAATAACGCAATAATACCATCCCTTATAAAAAAGTAATTTCTGGCCATATATGACCATATCAAAATTCCATGTATGGCCGTGTCCATTTATGGCCATATAGGCCTATGTCTCCCATATATGGAATTATTGTCCATATATGGCCATTTATATATTCGCACTCGATTCTTCCGTCTGCACCCTCTTGTTACATCTTCGTAGAACAAGCGTTTTGTTTTTTGCCATTTTGAACTAGGCCTGCTCATTGAAAATGGCGATAGCCAAAACACGTGTTCTTTGATGTTGTAGGCCTACCAAGTGTGTGCAGACGGAAGAACCGAGTGCGAATATACTTGATTTATCCAGCGCCGCACCGTGGTGTTCACCATAGACTATCTCTTGGAGTTTATTTTAAAATGTAGCCCTAACTTAGGTAGGTTTTGTACAGTTCCACAAAGAAACTAATTTATGTAGCCTAACTTATTGTTTGTTCTTAAATGTTTATCCAATATAAAGGACAATAACAAAAAATATATCATACAATGTAAGTTATGTAAATAATTTATCAATATTCTGTTAAGCCTACTTTTACGGGTCAATTTTAAAAGATGAGGGCTGCCTGCCGGCCTTGCCACTTTCCAGTTTTGGGCTGTGACGTAGGGCTATGGGTTAGGTAACTCCTGGAACTTCACTGTCTAGCAAATCAATTAGGTTAAGAAACACGTTTCCTCGATGACTCCAAAATAGCACATTTAATAACTAAAAAACTCACCAAAAACTGCTAGGAGCTCAACGTAAACACCACCCAGGAATGCAAAAATCAAGCTGTTCAGTGTTCACGACTAAAATTTAATCCAGTTTAATCCGAAGGATGTTTGTGAACTCTCACCACACCGTGTTACCTCAGAGGCAAACTTACTAAGCGTCATTCCCATGGAGGGTATTCCTTGAATGTGTGGGATGGTTCACAACTTTGTCCCAAGCCTAGTGGGAACGAGGCTTTACCACTACTTGCTTCATTTTAATCTCTCGTGAGGCTATTAGCACAGCAATTTGGCCTGCAATTCCCTGTATTTCAAGTTACCTGAGCGTATGTAAACACATTTTACATCCTAAAATCCTCAGTAAAACCACAATATTTCGACAATTTGTGAATCCAGAGATTTTCGAGTTATCCTGAACATAAACTTTTTAATGGGTTTTGATCTAAGTTAGTACATAAATACGGTTACATAACAGACTAATTTTCAAACTTAGATTAGTATTTTTAAGTCTAGTGGTTAAAATAGGCCTACCTACCTTTAATCTGTCAGTGTGATCAACGTAACCAATGAGCGGCCCATGATAAAGTTGTCGCCAGTTTTTAATCAAATTTCTTGTACCGGTATTTGATGTGAGCCATCGACAGATACGCTGATCTAAATAACTTAAGTTAACTAATTTCTATCAAATATACAATGTTTTTTCTAAGTCAAGCTTATCGAACGACTAATTAATCATGAGCTTTACTAGTTTATGACCCATCAACTATGTCAGCAACAGAAAATAAGGTAGACAATCAAATTTTAGACACTAGTCCATTCTGTGACTGGGTTCACACAAATACATTCTTTTTAAGTAAAAAATTGGTGACAGCTGGTCCATAGTAGATGGGATGTCTACTTCTGTAGGTATCCAATTAGTCAATGAACTAGACAAAGCTAGATAGACATGCATCCTGTCTGCTGTTGACTTGTCTAGTTACTGGGGGTCGAGTTTTTAATGTAATTCCAATGTTTGACAATTGTATCCTAGGTGATGGTGGAGGAAAGCGAGATCATGAACCAGTGAATAAGGTGATAAGCAACCCAATGGAATCCTCCCTTAAAAATTGAATTGAAGAGGGGCCATCCAGAAGAAAGCAATGCTGGATCCACCCTTCAGGGTAGCAACAGCAAACATTGATGAAAGGTAATAGTTAAAAAACAGTTTCTATGTTATTTAATGAAAATTTACCTCTTCATACAATGTCTTTATCACATAAAATCACCTAAATTGTGATGGTGGGTACACGTCATAATTTTAAAAGAAAATATGCATTTAGAAAAAAAGAGTTATTAGGCCAATAATTCTTTGTAAAAGCCATGAAACTGCAATGTAAATGGTGATTGACAGGAACTGGATGTTTTTGAACGTATAGTACACACGTCAGAGTTACCTACTGTTGCGTAGGGGGAGGGGTGTCAATCATTTCTGTAGTAGGCTATTATATTTTAGTAGCCATAGAGCACGGTAGGCTACAACACCGTATGTTTGCCTATGATGCATGTGTAAAAGGTCGAGCCCATATCACGGCAGCACAGCAATTTCTCTTGGATGACTTTCCTCTTCGAGGCCATGGTATCGTTTACAGGCAAAATTCAATTATTGATTCTCAGGTTGGTTGACAATTTTAAGAAAAAGGGAGGATAAAAAAAATAAGCCGCGTTCCTGAATAAACAAAAAAAACTGTTAGGCCTACTTCACTGCAGAATGTTGAAACGTTAGGCAAGCTTTGATTTCTATTCTAAGTGTTAGTAATGAACTCATGCACCTTAACGAGGTGACAGGTGAGACGGCAACGTTTCGAATAAACAATTAGGAGTGTGTTATGCAGCTTTTTTTTCAAATCAATGCATTGTTGTGATTCAAAGATTTTTTTTTTAATCAGGTAACTCGATTTGATGCAGTACGGCATAATTTTCTTTCAAAATCATTTAACCTTGCGCAGTGCCGGATTTAGGGTACTTGCGGCCCTAGGCCAAATAACTTGAGCGGCCCTCTCCCCGTGGGGGAAATTCCTTGCGATCGCGGAAGTAATCGTGAATATCTCCTATGCATCAAGGGGACATTATTATCGACACCCGTGATCGTGGATGAAATCGTGGACATCCCTCCAAAACCAAGTCAAAGCCATCATAGGTATCAGTGACCGTGGCAAAATCGTAAACATCCCCCGCGGGCTGCAACAAAAGGACATCATCACCGGCACCCGCGGCCGAGGCAAAATCGTGAACATCTTCCTCGGTCCGCAGAGACATCATTATGGTCAACTGTTTTCGTGGAAAACTGGTGGTTTAAAATAAATTATTTTTTCATCCAAAAAATGTTTTTCTTAATCCTCTGGGGCCCCCTTTTGCTTTTGCTAGGCCGTGGCCTTGTGGTAAATCCGACACTGACCTTGTGTTACTTTAATTTATCATTTAGCCTTAATTAATAAAGATTAAAGTAACAAAATTAAAACTAAATAACATTTTTTTGTGAACCTAGGGAAGTTGCTGACCTACCCTCCTGCTGATGGATTCTGCTGATTTTATTGTTCACCTAATAAAATCCAGACTTCATAAACAATTTGTTAAAGCCTATACCAACCAAAGCAATTTTTATTATATTATTGACCTGTGTTCATACCTGAGACGTAATCAATGCATTGGTTTGTCCATGCATCAAGGCCGATTCGATGTATTGAGACCACATCGGTGAATTGGATTGCATTGGACACCACTATAAACAATACCTATGTTTATTTTCACCAAGATCCACCGGACACACTGCTCACGATACAATAGCCATGGCAATGATTCGGGATGATAAATTAAATAGGTCTACAACATAAAATATAGGATTTCACTAATAACTCGTGTAGATTATAAATTAGGTACTATACACTTTTTGTAACTTTTACCACACCTCACCCAAGCAAATCAGCCCATCCTGCGGCCTGCAAATGGTATATTTTTATGTATATTATGTCCACAATACAGTTAATTTACTACAATATATTAATATCTCTGTAACAGGTAAAAGCAACAGCCCGGAATGGTTTGAGACAAAAAAGACACATCATCCAACTTCATGCTGGTATGCAACCGAAAGCCATACTAGTACCCCAGTGGTAAAAAGGCTACTGTATGCCACACGCACTCCGTCATCTACGGCAAAGCGCACGAGGGAGATGCAATATGCCAGCTTGAAATATCACTAAGGTCACAGTTCAGCCTTGCGATTTTGTCATCAACGATAAAATGCCATTCTTGGGAGCCTCTAGATCCTGACGGTCTCATAGGAAATGGAATTGTTGAGGTAAAATGTCCCTCAAGTGCAGAAAATATTACGCCCGAGGAAGTGATTAGAAATAGGGTTGGCTTGATAAAGGAGTTAAAGTCATGAAAGTTATGATATTAAATCAAGCGACCCTTATTTATATTAAATTCAAGGGCAGCTGCAAATAACAAAAAGACAATACTACATACTTGCTATTATCCAACCAAAAGGTATACTTAAAAAACTGTAAAAATTAATCGTGATGATGAGTTTTGGGAAGTAAACATGAAAGAAAAACTAGAAACTTTTTATATGAAATGTTTACTTCCCAAACTCATCGACCCAAGACAAAGAAGTCTAGCTATTTGAGAACCTGAGCACATTTTGCTGGCTCAAGAGCAAAGGAAACTTCAAAATTGGCTAAATCTATTATAGAAGTAGAGACCCGCTGTAATAAATGTAAATTAAACTTAAAATATCTCTACAGTAGACTCCCTCTTATCCGGACTCCTCGGGACCGAAGCCAGTCCGGATAACGGTATTTCTGGTTAAACAGACGTCCCCAAAAACTCGTTAAAATTACGCACACAGGTAGCTAGCCTGTAGTGTGAGACTCCTGAATCTATCCGACTACTCACTAAAACCCCCCTCTACTCTGTTGGACACAGACTTGGAACTGTTTGTCACATTACTTCAAGTAAGGCTAACATGTGACCTAAGCGCTTAGGGCTCTCACCGTTTCTGGCATTTAGTTTCTTTATGACCTACACCACATCCCGGTCAAGGTCGAGCTTCTTGGCGCGGAGAATACCCTGTAGGTAATGTGACACACAGGTCCAATTGTCCTCACCCTCTGTCATCATCGGTTTGACCGTGTCCACCAACAGCAGTCCTACTAACTGTTGAGCCTCCAGGCGGGCCGACCAGCAACCACCAGAACGGCGGGCTCGGACACTGTTCGGTAGGCAGATGCTAATCTAGTACTGCTAGTGCTGCCTGATGCTGCACTCGGGCAAGTCGCATCCTATATACCTCCTTATTAAGAGCGTCTGCCCACACATGCGCACCGTATAAGAGTACGGACTGGACCAAAGACATTAACAACCTTCTACGACTGGACTGAGGCCTTCCGACATTAGCCATCAACCGGCTAAGAGATGAAACCACCCTAGCGGCCTTACCCGCCGTACGGAAGATCTGATCCGCCAGCTAAGCCTGCTGTCCACCATATACCCAAGGTACTTGACAGTACGAACGGTCTGGACCTCGACAGCCCCCACTCTCAATAGCACGATGGTGTCAATCTGTTTTTTTGTCACAATCTCCGTTTTGCTCAAAGCTAAAAAAATAAGTACACTAAATAACAGATTGCAAACATAAATTAGATGTTTGCATATTTATATTTTTTCAACTCTTCTAATGAATACCGTAAAAAATCCAAGACAAATTTACTAATAACAACAGATAGCAGTTAGCAAAAACAACAAGGTCTAAGTAAGTGGTGGAAGTAACTTTGCACGCCGGTGCATAATCAGGATGTAATCAATGACACAGTCCAAGTCCGCTCATTGCCAAAGTGCTAATCCTACGAGGCAACGCAGAGCTTGGGCTTGGCTAGTGTCTACTACAGGTGAGGTGCATAACACCACGCCCGCGCTATGACTACTCTTCATTCAATGCCAGTGAGGTCGGGCCACCCCATCCCACTCACTACCTTCCCCTTAAACCCCCCCCCCCCTACCAACTTCTGTTCACTGCCATACACGTAGGTTCATACGTAGCATGTACTTTTTTAATCTATTATTAAGTTACAAGCTTGGTTCGGAAAGGGCCAAAGGGGATATTGTATGGAAACTGGAAACAAACAATTTTTACAATCCTAACTCAGGACAGATTAAAATTAATCTGCTCAATAGTCAATACCATTGCCGTTGATTTATATTTTTTACCTACCGCCGTTTCAGTTCAGGTCTTAGAATTAATAAGTTTCACGTAACAGCATTGTTTACTTTCATAACAGCATAGTTTTACTCATAACAACACGAGTAACGGAGGTTCAAGGATTGGGAGAGCAGAAGTAAAATTAAAATTGTAACGATTTGAACTTCAACCAATCAGCTGTTGAGGGGTGCAATTAGTGTTTGGACAATGTTTTGTTGCTTCACTGTCAGTGGCAATGAGAGGTTATAAATGAAAATATAACCTCTCTTATAACTAATGAGCAGTGATTTTTAGTAATCAAAACACTGTTGCTGGTAAAGTAGTGTACGCAACTCACGTAAACTCCCAAATCAAAAAAAAAGTAACACTCGCAGAAGTTTTTAAGACACTCGTCAAGGCTCGTACCTTAAATTTTCTGTTCAGGTTGTTAACACCATATTTTCGCAAACGCTACGTATATCTGCTATTTCACCAACTAAATCTCAATATGTATTTCTATCTTACTATGACATTTTTCAAGAAAGACACAAATTAGCACATGCAAGATCATTTATAAAACAGACTCTGGTTCATGAAATATCAAGCAAGATTCCTCACTACTACTTGGTTGACCTTCCATATGAGTATTATGGTCCATTAAAGATGGATGTTTTTGGAAACTGTGTGACTTTAGTTTGTGGTTTTTTTAATTATAACTAAGGCAAAAATGGACAATGAAATCCTGTGCTTTTAACTGCCTCTAAATCACTGTATTACACCATAGTTTAATTACTCCAGCCTATAATTGGTAGGATAAAACGAAGGAACCTCTCTATCTCATTTTACTGTAACATAACACTGTAACACAAAGCTTATTTGTCCTAAGGTATTTTAGGCTTTGTTAAAAATGGTTTGTATCATTCACTGTGTCAAAGAGTTATTGAAATAAAAATTTAAATGTCACAGCCTTATCAAAGATGTCTCTTTTAAAATAACCTATGTGAAATTGTCACTCTTATTGTACGATACACTGTTTATTATTTGATTATGGATTAATATTTCCAGATATACAAGACCAATATTGTTGGTATATGACAAATCTTGAAGAACCAACAATGACCAGGAACTGTTTTATAATCAGCTGAGAATGATATGTTTGCCAACAACAGCTTAAATTTGTGTATTTTATTTTATCCTTATGATGTATGTATAAATAAGACTTACTTGTCTGTACATTGTTTTGACAGGTCCTATCTATTTACGTTCTTTGTGTCATAGAAGCAAAAATTGGAATTATCTCAATTTCTGATATCGGTACTGGTACTTTGTCGGACTGTGCTTTTGGTTTACAAGTAACAAGCCTTACACATATGCTTTAGGTAGGTGTAACACTGTGGTACAGAAATGTACGCTTTCTACGGTATTTACTCAGGGGAGGTGTAGAAGAGCCTACGATGACAGCTGTGGACTTCTTATTAGCTGAAGGAACGCCATTACCGTAACAATACGGCCTGTGGCCATCGGCATCGGTGGTGTAGTGGTCAGCGTGTCGTGCTGATATGCTGAAGGTCCCGGGTTCGAATCCCGCTGGTAGCATTAACTTTTTGTCCAAGATTATTTCATTATCAGCAAGTTTGGTTAGTTCGGTTAGGTTATGATAGTTTAATTTTATAATAAAAAATTATAAAATTGAATTTGAGGCATTTATTTTTATTTTATGAACAGAACTATTTTTGCAATTAGTAAACCTTTATTGCCAAAGTGCTGTCTACTACAGCGCTGTTCACGGAGGAATTTTGAACTAATGCCTCATTCGTACCTCCCCTAAGTCAGACCCCGCTTTCTACTGAGCTAAATTAATGTGTGGAAACGTTTTAGAATACTTAAATTGCTCACACAAAAACCCCTATTTTTTTAATGATAAAAGCATTGTGTAATATAGCGTTTTTAGCATGTTCTCACTTTTCATATCCCTATCGCTGACTTTATTCTTTTTGCAGGTATCCAAGATCAATGATTGTTTGCATTACTCAGAAGGTTTTCATCAATGTTTTTTTTACAACCCTTGTCTTTAGGGGCTAATATAAAGCGACTGTCCATGACTTTTCATTTATAGCCTGTAAATCAATTATACAACCATTTATGGTTAATGCCATTTTATAATTTTCTAATTTTTCCATTTTTAAATTGTTTATTATTGTTTCAGATGGCTGAATTCAAACATTCAAGAATAGCAAACATTCAATAACAAAGTGGCTTTGGACGCAATCCTAACCCAACGCCCTCATACTTGGCCAACAACGGATAACAAGTGTGGCGAAATTGTTGGAAACAACAAGGAATTCAGTTAGGGAGTTCCTGGTCAGAGCTGCACATGCAGTTTCGACTTCAGGCGCTGCCGTTGTCGATATTTCATATGACGAGGCGGACATTGATGCCTCTCTTGAAGCTGACTACGACTAGTGATGTTTAATACCCAGGTATTTAAAACTCGGGGTAAATACCCAAAATCCATAAATACCCGCATATTTTGGGTATTTATGAAATATATTAAAATTCATTTATATTCACCCCTAAATATGTTATTGTTATCATAACACCTTTAACAGTAACTTGAAGCTTTAGGTAGTCGTTTAACCTACCTTTTATTTAATGATTTAGCACTTTTTTTTATAATACATAAAGTTTCTAAATAAGCATGGGGTTTCGTGTCTTAAATCAAGTAACATCAGTTAAATTTAACTTACTAAAAAATAGCAGCCTATATAAAAAAAGGCTGTGGCTATTTCAATTTTTATCATTTTATAAATTTATAACTACCTAATTAAATAACATAAACAAAATTATTTTAATTTATAAATATTCAGGAATTGTGTGGGTATTTATGATGCAAGATTTTTTTTTATAAATGGCTTGGAAGGCTAGACAGACCTAAGGCCTGATTGACATAGGCAGAATTGCAGAATACTAAGAGTAATTAAACTTTTCTGTGTTACCGCTTAGTTGGAAACAATAATATATTTGGATAAACCTACTAAAAAAAATATCTCCTGTTTTTTGGTCTAACTTAATATAATTTTGAAAGATTTATTGTGCTATGCCTATAGATTCAAATGCTTTGTATCACAAGTTTATGAAATTAGTTTTTTTATTATTTTGATACCATTGATACCAACAAAAGATCTAGAACAAAAAGGTCTTTTTACTGTCTTTTTACTGGCGATTTTTACTGTCTTTTTACCAGTATTTGGTTTTAGAAGAAATCTAAGCACACATAATGCTCTTTTTACTTATATTAGTAGTGTCCTTGAAGCTCTGGATCAGTCACAGTTGACTGCAGGAGTTTTCTGTGACTTATCCAGGGCTTTTGACTGTGTGGACCACAGGTTGCTGCTGATCAAATTGAAGAATATTGGCTTGGAGGGAATGGCACTAGAATTATTACGATCATACCTATTCAATCGAAAGCAGCGCACAATAGTAATAAAAAAATCAATAAAATATTATTCTAACTGGGCCAGCGTTACATATGGTGTTCCCCAAGGTTCCATACTTGGGCCTTTATTATTTATTATATTTATTAATGACTTGCCTAATTGCCTTTCCACAAATTCCTGTGCTTTCACTTTGTATGCCGATGACACAACTGCTCTTTTAAAAAGAAAAACACTAAGTGAACTTAAATTAACTTTTGACAGCACAATTAAACAAATCAATGAATGGTTTGAGAGCCATGGCCTGAAATTAAATGAATGTAAAACTAACATTCTTCAATTTAAACTCAGAAACAGAGTTACAGACACCACAATCAGTAATACAAAAATTGTTAAGTTTTTAGGTCTAAATTTAGACTCAAAATTAAGTTGGTCTGATCACATTCATCATCTAAATAAAAAATTAAGGTCAACAAGGTATTCACTAAGTGTACTATCCAAGGTCACGCCGCTAGAAGTCTGCTTGACAGTATATCATGCGTATGTTCATTCTTTGCTGGCTTATGGCGTCCCTCTATGGGGTAACTCTGCAGAGGCCAAGAAAGTGTTCACTTGCCAAAAGTCAATTCTCAGAACTATTTTTCACCAGAAGTCTAAAAAAAGCTGTAAACCTTTTTTCAAAAAACATTCCATTTTAACATTACCTTCTCTTTATATATTTGAAATAGCAAAGTATGTTCATGCAAATCCTTTCTTTTTTGAGAAATATAAGATAAATCATAACTATCAAACGAGAAATAATAACAAAACTTTTCAATATCCCAAACATTCGCACACAAAATTTGAAACTGGGCCTCTTTACATGGGATTAAAAATCTACAATCATTTACCTAATTCATACAGAACTTTATCAAAATCAAATTTTACATATAAACTGAAAGAGACTTTGAGCCAAAAAGCGTATTACAAAATTCAGACGTTTTTTAAAGATAAATTGTAATAGTTTTTACTCTTGTCAGGGTATAATTAGATTAAGGAACCTAGATATAATTAGATATAAATTGACCATGTACCAGCTTGGGAATTACTTTTGTAATTATTGTATCAGGCGTTATGTACAATAAAGCTTTGTCTATTGTCTATTGTCTATTGTCTAAAAATATTATTATTAAATCCTGCCAACCTACGGATTGAATTTTAATCACCTATTTTCTTAAGTTGTTTACACATAGGCTACTACTATGTAAAATTTTCCTGTCTTTCTAAATAATAATTATTACTTTGCAAAATTTTTTTTCACTTTTAATAAAATAAATTCATCTATTTATCATAGAAATTAGAAAATCACAAGTAGTCAAGACCAGTGCAACCATGCGACCAGGGTTTTTATGCCGATTATGATTTATGCTCAGTCCTGGATATTTATGGCGATTATACCCAGAAGTAAAATGCTAGTAGTGACCATATGAAATTTTGTTTAACACATTTAATCATCATTTTACTATCCTTACAGGGTAATAATTGCAAAAAAAAATCTCAATATTCTCTAACTTTAATAAAGATTATAAATACCCAGTTTTTGGGTATTTACCCGGGCCTGGGGTTAATACCCGGGTAAAAACCCAATTTATATTTACCTACCCACTGGGTATTTACCCGGCCCACACCACTAACTAGAGATGGGCTAAATGAGTACATCGAAATACTGATTACTACCGGTACTGGTACTCTCGAGTATCAGTTACTTTTGATGATTACTTTGTACTCATGAGTACTCATCACGGCCGACGGGATTTGGTACCCGTAGAGTGTTCCTGTATCAGTATGTAATACCAAATACCATTAGTGATGCCACTGGCAGTACTCAGTTCCTTTACAAAATGATTACTATGTGTTTTTAAGCAGTTTATTGATTTATAGTGATCAATGAAAGCAGTTTTCATATTTTTGGAATTTGTTATTACTAACAAATGATTATGTATTTTCAGCTATAATACTCAGTTAAGTTTAAACGAGTAGGCTACTACTGAACTGATACCCGAGACGAGTCCTGGTACTGGATTGAAGGTTTATCAGTACCAGTACTCAATAGTAGAAACGAGTACTCCAGTATCAGATACTTTTGGTTTAGAGTAACAGTTACACACGGGACTGGTGAGTATCCGATACAAAGTATCAGATACTGCAGTCCCGACTCACCTCTACCACTAACTACGACATTAGACTTCTTTTTCCAAGGAGGAAGGTTGTATGGAGAGGCAATGAAGAAAATGTTCATAAATTACGTTGTCAAAACTTTAAAACCTAAGTCCGAGTATATCTAGCTATTAGATCATTGAATCTCATCTGTGAGCACTAATGTGCTGTGCTTATGTTCAGCTGACGGTGGCATAGTAGCTTAGTTGTTGTAGAAACTTTTTTTGTAGAATCCCGTACATGTCCAATTTATATTAGGCTTAATGGTTGGAGGACCAGTTCTAAAAAAACGGTGTCCTGTATGGTTGGACGCTGACTGCATTATAAAGTTTAGTACGGATTGCTTGCAACACCTGTATTGCTTCTTTTTAGATAGTATAGAGGAGGAGGACACAGATTTTCTTTTATTTTGGTTAAATATGGATGTATCGAATTGAAATTATAATGTTGAAATATAATAATAGGTACTTTTAAGTTCAGTTCATCTTTTGTACAATTTCTGGGCAGAACTTTTATTCATTATGTTGTTTTCATACACTTAACACCCTTGAGGATACATTTATATGCTGTAGGTTTAAAGTTGATGGCCTTCAAACACCGCATTACTAACCGCACCTCTCAACGGGTGTTTTCTTTCAGCTGCAGCACACTTTTTAAACTTCAATATTGTGACAATGAATATAGTGACACTTGTGACAGAGATGTGCCTATTGGCGGCTGACGGAAACATTCCTTACTTTCTTAATAGCCTCCGTTATTTTCCATCTTCCAAAGTAGCCAAAGTTAGTAGAATTGCCAATGACAGAGAAGTGAGTTTAATTACAGAAAAGCATATACGTTCCTGAACTCTCTACTGACCTTTTAATCCTTCCAGGGATAAATTAAATGGCGGGCTGGAGATTAATTATTTCTTGCCAACATTTTGCTGATAATTAGATTCTAAAAGAGATGCTATCATAATTAGATTCTAATTCTTCTGATAATAGGAATTTTCTTCAGTAAATTTGTCTTAAGAAATTAATAATTGTTTTACTTTTGGGAAATTTTGATTTTAATGCAGCTCACTCCATTCTGTACATTTATAAATGTGCGTCTTGAATAAAGTTATTTTGATTGATTGATTGAACATGTATTAATGAGTTGTAATATTGATTTTGATTTTATATATTAGGACTTTTAGGGTTTGGTTAAATGCTTGTGGTTTCTTTTCACTTTTGCTTGTACTAAAGATATTCTTAGTACAATAGTACACACAAGTATGAAATATAATTTTATGTTTTATATTGTTTCTAAATCTGTGTAGGCTATTAACAGACTGTGTTGCTTTCAGAACAATGGTGTCATTGAACAAAAAGCTGTTGGCTGTACGATAGGTGCCATCCTTACCAGTAGTCTCCACCGAGGACCTCAAGGATCATTCAAGGTGGATACCCCAGAGTGAACACAAGAAGAGTGGAGACCCAGTTTGGCATCTAGGTAATGTGTAAAGTAGTAAACTTAATGCCCGACCACAGTCACAAACTGTCCAGGAGTACTCGGTCTCGGCAGTTGTTTAGCCAACTTGTGCCAGACTTGGCATCGCCCGCATCGATGCTCGATTGAGCCTCGCAGCCTTGCTTGACCTTTTTTAACCTCAAAATCGTTCTGTTAGTCAAACTAATCCTTGATAACTAGAGTCTTAAAAGGTTTTCATTTTCTTTAAGTTGAAATTAATCAACAAGTTTAGGTGTAGGGCATATACATTTTAACGTCACAAGCCTGACAACAGTTACTGTATGGCAACCCTGTTATATAACTTATATCACATGTAATTCTTATGGGCTTAATAATTGTATTTTTGTCAGAAAATCATGACCGACCTCGGGAAAGACGTAAGGGATGCCAAAGAGGAAGAGGCTTGGTAGTAGGAGCAAGAAGGCAAGAAATGAGGACATGAACTTCTTAGGAACCAGTTGGCAGGGGAAGCTGGGGAAGTAAGTTAACTCATCTGTGTACTAAAAAGTTATTTATGAGGGGGCAGGTGGCTAAGCTATGACGGAAGGGGTTGAAGGATGGGGCAGTATTATTGGGAGAGATTTGTGCTCCTGACCTTAGGGGGGGGATGGGCTGGGAACCTCTGAATGTGTGCGTTAACCGATGGATGGACCCATATTTAATTAACGGTGTCTGGCTTTTGTAGAAGTTGGGGACATTAGTGAATTTAGTATAGGGATGAGCATGGATAGGTCAAGTATCACTGGTAACATTGGTATCAACCATCGATGTACCGGTCAGATTCGCTGCAAAATTATCGATGTCTTCAGGGCAAATTATTGATAAACAATGTTCTTTCATTCTGAGTTTTTCGTCTGTTTCCTGCATTAGCTAATTAACCTAGCTACGTTCCTCTTTCACATTTGCAAAACAAAATATCAGTCTTAGTTAATTAATTATGCTGGAGCAAGAGTGCTACGTCGCCAATATGTAATCCAAATTAATTGATTTTTTGCAGCATTTATAACAAGCAGAACTAAACAATGTAGATAGTTCTCTCCCTCTCTACTCATGTCTAAGTCTAGTCCTGTTTGCAATATTTTTGGATCAGTCTTTCAATGGAATAAATACAAAAATTCAATTTCAGTTAGCCTATGGGAAAAAATTGATACTACAATTGTTGGCCAAATACATCGATGTTTGACAAAAACATCAGTAGCCTTCCATCGATGTAAAAAATATTGAACATAGATAGAAAAACATTGATGTTTCAAAAATATTGGCTATTGAGGCTCATTTCTAATTTAATAGAAATGAGAAATAGTTATTTTAAATTTTGAAATATCAAAGTAAATCATGATTTAGCAAATAAATTAAGAATTAGATTACTTCAGCCTGACCTTTTGTTTCTATAAATACTTGGACTCAACCTTATCGGTTTGCCAGATCTCATTACTTTCATGTGGAGGATTAGAAAATTTAAATACATTTTTGTATAGACCTAATGAATTTTACATTTATTTACATAAGTCTCATGTTAATCTAATATATTTACAGGTTCAACTACATACCATAGGTAACAGGTTATAGGTTATTTTTACGTATTTGCAGTATTTGCACAATGTTATCAGACAATCAGAAATACTCTCGCCCCCTTTGATCGCCAAGAGCAAAGTGAAAAAGACAGAGCTGGAATGTGACTAAAGCATTAGAAGACATTAACCAATTACAGCATAGGTTATTTATTTTTAATACAATTGGTTGCAATTGTGTTACAACCAATGAGCATTAAGCATTTATTCTACCTGTCAGCAAACTCACCAGAAAAGGTTATAGATAAGGTAGGTACTAATTATAATCCTTATTTGTTTCAGAACCACTACACACCCCAAACCACAGGAAAGAAAATGAAACATGTATAGTTAAGTTATTTTTTACTTACCTTACAAATAAATAAATGAAAATGTCCAAGCGTTTCTCAGTACAAAAACTACCTAACAGAGTCCCGCAAGTAAAACTATAATAAAATAATATTTACAAAAATGTATGAATATGGAAGCAGTTTTCTTTTCAGAGTTATAACTGGATAACGGCTGGGCAGATTTTAATGTTTGAGGTGTCAAATTAAAGGTATTTTCACATGTATGTGCAAATACATCAGAATTTCAAGAAAGGGTATCACTTATGAAATGTTGGATTGGTGGCGTTATCTGTTGACATTGGAACAAACTCAATTCACTCTACTTACAACTAAACATATTGGGATGGTTTGAAATACTCATAAAAAAAGCAAAAGAAACATCAGAGTTCTGCTCTTTTACACAAATAGGGCATTACGGTATATTCTCTTTAACACGTTTGCTACTGCAATAGTACGAAATTTTTCATTCACATGGACCAGAGACGCACATATGCAACGGCCGGTTTTCACCCATATACTGCTATATCTATGCGATGGCTAGTCACATTAAAATAGACTGCCGTCGCATATTTGCGTCGGGGTTCTAATGTTATTAAAATGCTTATATCTTTGTAACGGTCTATTTGAAGGCACTGAATTCCCTGCAGTGGTCTACAGAGATGTCTGATGCACAACTGTGTCGCTTGGTATGTGGATATGATATATGATTGGTGACGTCATATGATAGTTGGAAAAACTGGTCTTTACTTGTCTGCATCACTGTATGTATGTATGCAGTATGTATGCTGCATTATCCTATGTAGCTTTTATATCTGAACAGTTATAAACTGTTCTTAAATAATCTGTTTTTTTTTTAAATTACTTTCACCTCAAACCACAAACAAAAATGAACTGTCGCATATATGCGACGTTTGGTCTATTTCAAGAAAACTATGATAATTTTCACTATTGTCTTCGCTGTAGACCGAGCATCACAAATTTGCAACATTACAAAAGGTTATAAAAAAATACAAAAAAAATAATAAATTATTTACAAACACGATTGTAGCGTATTTAAATGTAAATGATCACTGTTTTACAGGTTTTCGCCCGTGGTCTGTGTGTACTGTTAACCAAGTGACAGCCGGTCTATGTGTAAGATTCAAATGTATACCTCGGTCTGTGGCAATGACCGCGGCGAACCTGTTAAATATTATTTGCTGGAAAAAAGTAAAGGCCGGTATCCACAGTGCGAGGCAGCTCGCTGCGAATGCCTCGTTGCGAATGCTCGGCTGTGACTCGGACTGTGGATAACAGGGTTGCTCGCTATGAGGCACCATGAGGCGCTCACGTTACACAATGTGAGGCGAGCCGTGTACTTGTCGGTTTCAGAGCATTGCTCAAAGGTGCCTCGCTTCGAGCTGTGCGTCATCATGGATAGTCATGACATGATCAGAGATTTAGTTAAGTGTTAATGGAAAGCAAAGCGGGTGGTTCGCGTGCTCGCAGTGAGCATTCGTGGGTTACAAACTAGCTGCCAGCTAAAGAGCTCACCCTGAGGCAGAGGGCATGAGGCATTCGCAGCGAGCAGCCTTGCACTGTGGATACCGGCCTAAAAGGAGCACTAACGGCACTAGTGACTGTACCAGCCACAACTTGGCTGTCTCTTGTAGGAGGTTTTTGTATCAGTAGAGACCACTGACTACACAGTTTTCCCAAAAAAAGCCACCTGCTGTGAAAGATAGGTGATGTGGTTCAAGAATGTAAGGAAAGTATTAAGTACCACACCTAATTTCTTGACAGCAGGGACGTAGCTAGAGTATATGACGCCCTTGGCAACGCCCCAAAGGGGGGTCTGGGCAAAAGGGGGGACCGGCTTTTTTTGCAATTTTAGGTGCAAAATAGTAAGTTTTGTGTGTTTTTTAAATAAATAAATAAAAAGGTCTTTATTTCACGATTGTTTTTCAGATACAATATTCTGCTTTTCAAAACAACTCTTGTCCTTAATACTACTAAACTATTCATAAAAAACAACTATAAAACAATATATAAAGAATCTATGAAAACAATGTAAAACAATCCATACCAACAATCTATTTATTATTTAACAATCTTAAAATATTAGAAAATCTATAACAAACATTACTTAAAATAACCAGAATCTGTAAAACTAGGACTAGACCAAACAATTAACAATAATACCCCCGCCGCAGCAAACCTGCCGACTAAGCGAATTTCCATTTGTCTGAATTGATTTTCAATTAAATATATTTTAATAACATTAGGTTTGACGAGTACCTAGGTTTGCTGCTACAAGAAACCTAATAAAGTGTGTTTTTGAGTAAAATATTGATAGCTTAGTACAAAATAAATAAATTTGCCAAGTTTGATCAAAATATATCCATAAACAAGCAAATTACAACATTTGACAATATTCTCCATAAGAATAACATGGGAATTTTAAATTTACAATTTTTTTAATTTTGCTCCGTTACTAATAATCGAACAAAAATACTTTTATATACTAAATTATTTGTTTTTTTAAGGTCTTTAAAAAGGTCTAAAAAGAAATTGGGAAATTTTGTGTTTTGAGGGTCAAAAGTGAGAAAAACCAATTTTTACCCCATAAAACCCCCCCTAAAGCCCCGTTCCCATGGTCTGATCATGCTGGTTCGCGAACTCATTCAAGTTTATCTCGCTTTACACCTTTAAACCAAATTTCATCAAAATCGGACAAAAATTACTCAAGTTATCGCGTTCACGGACGTATATATATATATACGGGGTGTCCCACGAAGGGGTTTAAACGTTTGATTTTATATTACGTGCCCATTCATGCATCAAACTTTTTTAAACTTTACACAGTTTAAGAAGTAGGATATAAAAATATTCTGGAAAAATTTCAACTCCCTAACCTTAGTAGAAACAAAATGGCGGCATATTGAAAAACGATGCTTTAAAAACATTAAAGAAGGTATTTTTGGTTTTATAAAATATTTTTATTGTTACTTTCCAGGGCATGACTTAAAAAAAAAAAACTTGAACATAGCCTAATGGAAAACCTTAATGTCCAAAATTATTCAAACTGTAACCCATCCACAGCAAAACGGTGCGTAACAATTTATTCGTAAGCTCTTACAAAGAAACCCTGCAGTATCCGGAGAAGTTCCTCTTCTATTGATCGTTATAGTTCCTCATCATTATTGAAGCTATGGGTATAAACTTGTTCCTTCAAGAAACCCCATAAAAAGCTGTCGCAAACAGTTAAAACAGGTGATTGGGGTGGCCAATCTAAAAAATCATTTCCACGACCAATCCAACGGCCATGAAGGTTGCCATTTAGTAATTGCTTGACAGAATTTGCGAATTGAGATGGTGCACCATCTTGTTGAAAGATTGCTTGATTCATTTCTGGTACCGTGGAACCTGTTCATTTAAAACTCATTTTACAATCAAACAGCTGTTCTTCAACAATGAGCGTTAGAACCGCAACGTAGTAAACAAATCAGATAATAAATCATGAAAGTAGTTTTTATAGAAAGCAAATTGGTACATTTTTCAATATGCCGCCATTTTGTTTCTACTAAGGTTATGGAGTTGAAATTTTTCCAGAATATTTTTAGAACCTACTTTGTAAACTGTGTTAAGTTTAAAAATGTTCGGTGCATGAATGGTCACGTAATATAAAATCAAACGTTTAAACCCCTTCATCGTGGGACACCCTATATATATATATATATATATATAAATCTATATATATATATATATATAAATATATATATATATATATATATATATATATATACATATATAAAAATTTGAACGAATGGTGTTTTTGGCCTCTGGGGACATCAAAATGAAAAAATAAATCGGTCCCAGGTCTAGGTCTTACCGTGCCACCTACGGTAATAGCTACTTCCCTATAGGGAAATTTGCTAATAGCTACTTCCCTATAGGGAAATTTGCTAAAAACATACATTTACTTTAGATGCAACTACTTTCACCAAACAAATATTCCTTTAACTTTTTTTTAAAAGTGTTTAAAGAGTTCGCCCCTTATTACTTGATCGGGGAGAGCATTATACATGGTAGGGCCGAAGTATGAGAAGGCGCGCCTTCCCTTTTCATGTCCGACTCGAGGAAAGTGCAACAACTTGTCCTGTCTCGTGCTGCGGACAGAGACATCTTGGCGAGAGAGAAGTTTCTCACACAGGTACTTAGGCTGGCCATGCTCTATAGCTTTACGTATCAGGCTGCAGGTTAGGTATACATCTTTAATTTGCATAATGTTTGCAGCGTTTCTGTAAGGAGTTATGTGATCTCTTCTTGTTCAATTATAAATAAATCTAAGTTATGCATTTTGTAGTCGATGGATTTTATTTAGGTTGTCTTTTGTAATGCTATTTCCATATGATAGAAGACAATAATCAATAAACGGTATCAGCATTCTGACACATACTTTCTCCCATAAGTTTGTCAACAACCTTTATCATGTGTAAGGGGTGAGAGTAAATATACAAAAATGGGATTAGTACAATTTTGTTCAGAATTTAAAGACTATAACATACAAAATTTTTAACAAAATCTTTCTGGCTATTTTTGGGAATATCTGATTTTACCGTTATTTTATGGCGTTTTTATGGGAAAATAACTTAATCTATATAATTAATACGCTACATGAAACTTTGTCGGTTGAACTCCTCTGCCATTTCTTAACCGATTTTATCCCTTGACGTCTCATTGGAAAGAGAGTGTTGTGTAGATTTGCAAACTGGCTTTACATTTTTGAAAAGGTCCCTGGTCCCTTGGGCTCTGCCCCAGTGGCTTTGAAAGTTCCCATGTTATCCTTATGAAGAACATAATTGTTTACATTTTAATCAGCTGTATAATTTAATTGCTGTTATTTATTTGTCAATTCAATGAAACGCATCGAGCACATGTAAACATAACCCCCAGGACGGATCGTGTTAGTATGGTTGTATCTTAAATTTATGTATCTATCGTTGTTTTGTGTCGCTATGACGGATCGTGTTAGCGTGATTGTAACTTAAATGTGTGCATT